TAAAATATTTAGGAAGGGGGGGGGGTGAATGAAGATAAAATGAAGGTCAAATCGGATCTTTCTGTGGAGATCCAATTTTCTTCAACCGAGCAACTTAAAGAAAAAAAAAGAACAAATAAATCGGCGAGGGGTGCTCAGCCAACCTAACTCCTTCCTCCCTCCTCTCTTTGGATACCCATTTTCCATATGGATTCAATACAGCCACAGGAATCGGCATGTATGACTTGCAAGGATAAAAAAGAGCTCGTAAGCAAGCAGATTGGCAAATATCCTCGGCAGAGGCGAATCTCAGTGTTTAACGACGCATATGCACCTCTGATTAAACAGGAGTTTAAGAGTTTCCCAAATCCCTCTGAACTCCACAACTTGCTCGCGCCAGGGGAGAGAAGAGCACGTCCTGTCCGCAGCCCTGCACGCACGCACACGCACGCACACCTCTGCCTCCTCGTTAGCAACAGCTTCAAAACAGCCCGACATCCTCAACTTCTCTGTTTATTCACCAGATAAGCTGCTCCAGGTCCGGTTTATATCCCGCAGGGCCTGCTTCTCCGAGACCGCTCTCTTGATCTCCTCCAGGACCAGGTTAAGCTCCTTCGAGCGCTTCAGGCTCTCCTGCTCGGCTGCGTGCAGTCGGTCCCGGAGGGCAAGGAACTCCCGCTGGTAGATGTCCACAACGTCACCTGCGGATGGAAAAGAGGGAGAAGCTTTCTCCTCTGTGCTCTGAAGGGTTTTAAGCCACAAAGGCAATGCCCATCACTCCTATCTCCCCTACCTCCATGATCCTTAAAACCTGGATTTAGGGAGCTGTGGTCCAGCATGCACCCCTTGACAAGAGGGTTGGGAAGCGGGCAGTTTAAGTTGCAGAACTACAGTCAAAAATCTGCACCTGTTTTTCTCGTTAACTTGGGCTTCTGAGTCATATAGAAACATGACCTGGTCTCTGTGACCCATGCATGCAGCAAAAAGTAAGTTGCATGGTAGTTCTTCACTATATACTCAGAAAAGGGGAGTCAGCTGCTGCACTAATTTTATGAGCAATGTTCTGCATCTCTCTTTAGCTCCAGAAGTTTGGGTTTGTGCGATGGTGACCGCTGGAGTGAGCAGCAGGGAACCGGAGTCAAAGCGAAAAAGAACTGAAAGCACTGGGGAAGGAGTTTTAAGACCACACATCAAAGGGCATTCAAGTGGATAATTCAGGAAAATCCCATGACAGCATCTCGAAGGCCTTCTCCAGATGGCACAGGGCATCTCCTGGATGACCCTGAGTGATGGAAAGCGAGATGCTGGCAAGGGGGATCCTGCTCTGCAGTGAGACGAGGTTGGGCACCTCCTCCAGCTTCAGAAGAGAGTCCCAGATTCTAACAAAAGAGATTTTAGGAATCTAACCTCTCCGAAACATGGCAGGATAAAGAATATCGCATGACAATAGCTGCCCGGATGCTTTATAAATCCAAGTGCTTGGATACGCACCTTAAGGATGCATCGTACATGTAATATATAAAAAATAAACTTTTGATAGGGTAATAAAGCTTTTTAATCTGAAACAACATCATATCACCATGCCCTTTTTAAGCAATAAAACTACCGAAAGCCTTCAGCTGGAACTAACTAGACAATAGCTGGGAGTGGAATTGGTTAGCCATTAATGAACTTTCCTGGGCTGTTTTTTATCCCCTTATTAATGAAACTACTCATTAAAAATACACTTTTATCTGTGGTCACTCATGTGTTTTCAGTAAGACTATAACTCACAGGACTACACCCAAACCAGATTTATCCCCTGAATAGTAGACCCTTAGCCCAAACACAACCAGGAGAGCTAATGACCGAAAATACTGCATTGGAACTTCCCAACACAGGGCTAAATATAAATCAGAGCCATTGAAAAAAGATACACTGACTGCATTGACAACTTCTAATTTGGGGTTGATAAAGAAAAAGGAATTTTGAAGATCAGACATACCCAGCTCCAAAGCACAGAGTTTCCAAGACAACAGTGCTCCCCAGTCCAGCTCCTGGTAATGCTTTTGCCTAGGAAACGTTTCCCCCTACAGGGTCTCTTCCCCCCAAAAAAACTTCTTAAAGACTTACTGCTTCAACACAAGGGAACCCCCCAAGGCAGTCTGGCTCCTATTAACCTTTCGGCATTATTTTCAAAGCCACTGGCACATGGGGAGGGAGCAGAGGAAGCTACACCCATTTGATTACTCCGTCCATCCGACAACACGTTATTCAGAGAAAGTCAAGGGACAGACATAAACAAGACCAGTCCTTCCGTTTTCCTGTGCGGTGTCGCTCGCTTTCCACTCCTGTCAAGAAAACATTTAAAAATTTGCAGAAAAACAGGTTAACACCCAGCTCTGGGAGCTGCCACGGGAATTCACACGAGGACGTCAGGTTTTAAATGGACTCCACGATGAGCTAGACCTTTACCTGCTGGTGCCTCTCAGACATAAGAATACACCTTCCAGCAGCCAGTTCTCTAGATGATAACTTTTCCTACTTGTATCTTTTACCAGCTGCATTTGTGAACATCAGCAAGGAACAAGTCTCACTTTCTGTTTTTGCACGACACAACGGCAGGAATGGTGCCTGTACAAGGCTGGAAGCATTTGGCTCTTGGTATACCAGGGGGTTACTGTCCCGTGGATGCTATCAAAGCCAAATCACAGCTAAAGGCTGCCATTAGATCTTGCTCTGCAATACCTGGAGCAGAGTAAAGGCAAGGCTTTGCACTTAATGGCTTTTTCCAGAGCACTGCACTTCGTTTGTGTCAGATTTAGATAGGAAATGTCACTGATTATTCAGTCACTAATGACCTGCCCGCTGAAGCCAAGAGCTGTACTTTTCATTAGACTGCAACGGTGATGTGCAGTCAACCATTTGCTGCTTTTCTGGCTAATGGTTGGAAGTGAAATTGTATTTGCTTCCAGTGCTCTTGTCCTATGATGTCTTCGTAGGCTTTCCATTCTTTAATTAAAATTTCATGAAATTTAAAAGCTGATCGATCCGTGACTGGTTCCAGTGACAGCTTGAACAGTCCGAGACAAAGCCCAAGATGGGTGCACAGTTTCCCATGAATTTCCAGTAATGCCGTTTTCCACTCGTTGGTCTGCAATGACACGTGGATGCAGATCTGCCGTCCTCATAAAAACCCTCCGCTGCTCAGCCAGGGAGGGCTCTGAAAAGCCACCAAGGGCAGCAGGGGATAAGGCGGGGGGGGAATTGGCTCCCATCTCTACAAGCAACGTTGGACACAGAAGTGATTTGCTGCTAATTAGGCTGAACAAATTTTTCAGCTAGCGTCAGTTCAAGCACAGACCCTTTCCTACCTTTCAAAGCAACAGGACTCCCTATCTACATATTTATTGTACTCCCTCCCAGCACAAGACAGCAGAGCTCTTAAAATACTGCCCAACTCAAGCATTGCAGGACAAAAACTCCTAGCTATAACTGTATTAAAATAAAGATCCAGCTTACTTTTTCCTGAGAGTTAATGCATTGCTTCGGGCTTAAAATAAACTGGTTTAATAAAGAAGGAAAGTCGGTGTTAGCTGACGGTCCGCAGGACAGGCATGGGAGACCAAAAACCTCTCAAACGGGGACTTGCAGTGTTGGCAGCACACGCTGGGCATGCCCAGTGCCCTGCAAACTGCACGTTTCACACCTTGCCAGGCTTAATATTTGCACTTGATGGTCTTTCCCAAGCCATCTTTAGGAACAGGCTGGCTGCGAGGCTCCAAGTGTGCATGGAGCAGCTTCACACAAGCTGGCTCTGTGCAGGCCAGAGAAGGCAGCGCTGGGCACAGCTGAGCACCGGCCACCATCTGTCCATCCCGGGGCTCGCCGGCACTGCCGGAGCAGATCTGGGGGGGTCTATCCCTGGAGGGGGGAGCAGCCTGCAGCAGAGGGACAGCGGCCGTAGGAAGCATCCGGCTGAGCATCACTTGCCGATGGACAACTATGCCCTCTGCTCCCTTCTCTCGCCCCAGCTGTGCCCAACCGCAGCTGCCAGGCTGCTTTTTTTTTGAGCTGGGGGCCTCCAGCTGAGATCCCTGCCCTGGGTTTGCTGAGTAACAACGCAGCTTGAACAGGCTCCTCTCCCAGCAGCCGGAACGCAGCAGCACGCAGTGGATGGGCACCTGTTGGTGGGGCTCATGGGCTGCTCCCCAGGAGCCTTACGTGGGCTTCGCAGAGCTGATCCTGCAGCCTTCCCAAAGGTCTTCATCCATTCAGGACAACATCCGTTTAATGGAGAATTCTGTGGCTTTGTTTTCGTTTAAGTGACTATTAAGCGCAACCCATGTTTGCCAGCAGAGGTGAGGGCTGGGACATCTGCATCCGCTCTGTTGATCCATTTTCAGTTTTTGAGTGAAAGTGAAATACCTAATCTGATCCTAAAACAGCAGACAGGCACAAAATCAGACCAGTGCCAATAAAACCCTCACCTTGAAATCTCACATGATCATCCATATGTATATATATACACACACACACACACGTGCGCACACACAGAGATATATATATATACACACACACACACACACATATATATATATATATATACAGTCAGGAAAGTTGTAATTCTGTATTCTGCGTTAAGTCTTTCAAATCACACTCCAACTTCCCAGGGAGCCCGTGGTGCATTTTAAACATGTCCATATTTCAGGACCAATTACTCTGGGTTTTGTTCTCTGCAGATAACCTCTCCCAGCAGAGGACCCATGGCCAAAGCCAGAGATTTCCCTCCAATTCAATCTTTTCGAAAGCAAATGCAAAGTCTTTGCTAGCTTGATTTGCTTCTCATTAGGAAGACTTTCAAGAGACATTGTTTAAAAACTAAAAACAACCATCAAACCTCTAAACTATTTATCTTTATAAAATCTTGGCTTGAAGAGCACAACTGCACCTTTTGACCCATCTGCTGCAAGAGTTTCCAGGGCCAAAAGAGCTGAAAAACAGTGCAGTCCCCAGTTCACAATGCAAACAGAGCTGAAGCAGAAAACTAAACTGCCTACAGAAAATTTCTCTGCCATGACTATTCTCCTTCGTTTTATTTAAAGCACCCCTTCAAATAAAAACCATTCCCCCTCTAGGACTTGCAAGGGTCTGGGGGGACTCCAGAACACACAAACAACCCCCTCTCCATGCTACAGCATCTATATTATCCAAAAATGCAACCGATGGAGCACGGGGAACCAAGCTGGCCAGCCATCCCACCCCAGCTCGCCACCATCCCCATCCCAGCCAGGCATCCATGCTGCACATGCCTGGCTTTGTCCCCAGCCATTTACAGGAGTTCTTGGAGTTAGACGATGATATTTTTTTTTTTTTCACGTTTTGATGTTCAATGATTTATACAAAGCTGGCACCGCTCCACACATTACACTCTAGATTTCCCTGATTGAATCACAACATTCATTAGGTATTTTGCTAACAGAATTTCACTGGACCATTAAAATGGATATAAGGAGTTACCACGCTGTATTGGTGAATTAAATTCAGCTCCTGAGAGGCAAAAAAGGATAGTCCTGCTTTACACGGAAGCCTGATGGCTAGCATAGCACAAAAGTGTTAGACACTTTGCACACAGGTACGCAGGGATCGGCAGTAACTCCACAATAAATGTTTTATACCATTAAATGCAAAATTCTGCCCTTTGCTTATTTAGCTGTAGAAA